CCTCATTGGAGATATTCCAGAACTGTCTGGACACAATCCTGTGCAATGTACTCTAGGATGACCCTGCTTGAGCAGGGAGGTTGGACCAGATGACCCACTGTGGGCCACTCTGTGATTCTGTAATGTAAACAAAAAGAACTGTGTGGGGTTTGTCCAAACATCTATTTTATGTGCTGCAGATATAGTAAATGCTCTGGAAACAAAGTTTCGGATGGAAGATTATTGTTGTAATGTAAAAGGTATTACAAAGGTACTCAAATTTCTTACAGATTTTCTATAAAGCCTTGAGATATTGAATTGTTGGTTTCATATCTGACACAGAGTTATTTTCACATTTTTTTATGTTTGAGAAATGTCTGTATCACATGATAACAATGAAAAAGCCTTCTTGGTGAAACATACTGTTGCAAAACAAATAGTTGGCACAAAGACCAGTAACGCTTCCTAAACACATTATGAATTAAATAAGCAAGTATGATAAAAATGGCTTAATAGTCATGAAATAGACTCAGTTGTAACTCACATTCACGGAAGACCAAAGTTATAAACACAGCCCTAGCTTTACCATTTCCTGATTGTGATGTGTAGTTAAAAGCTGTGTTCATTACAACTCTGGATAAAACCACCTTATTTTTTATTTTGAATATTCAAAAATACTAATCCTAAACACCATCTCTGACACATTACTACACACAGCGTTTTTCGTTACTATGTAATTAATATGGTTAAGTTGGACCATTTTGTCTAACAAGGCAAACTTGTTCAACCACTACTGTTCACTATATTAGTAACCATTTTATCATTATTGCAAAATATTTTGGTTTTCACCTTAGTGAATTAACAACCTTTAAAGACACCCACATATTCCTCTCCATATAAAGCAAATTTAAGCCTTTTAACAAAATCAGATTAATAAAGCATTACGGTATTAGATCAAAAACCCCACAGGATCACAATATTCAATGGTCCATCCCATTAACTAACAAACATTGCAACAAAAGGTGCCACATTGTATGTAAGTTGTGAGGTGAACCAGAAACAGGATTTCCAGTTTCCCAAGACAGAACTCTAAATTGCTACCACTTGTTGCAAATCTCTATGTGAGCATTGACTTCTTTGTAGCTGTTGCCATAACACTGTATCACAATATTTTTAAAAAGTGTTACCTGCTACTTGAGCCAATTTGTCATGAAGGGCATACAAGCTCTTCATGAGGCTTCTTTCATCTTCCTAGAATTAGAAAAGCATATTTATGTTAAAACAAACAGTAGTAGAGATGCACTTTTTTCCCTTTACCCCAACAATCCCTATATACCATAAGGAAAAAAATGGGTTTTACACATACAGGTAGAAAGCTATAACGTTTCACACATCAGCAATGATGCAGGCAATGGATTTTGATCTAAGTATTCACTACATTGAATTTTCAGGTCTTGACTGAAACTAAACTAGACTGCAGCTTGGACTCCAATGGATCTGCCAGTCAAAACCAAGAGATCAAAAGGTTATTTTTGATACTACTGAAAGAACAGTGAAATGACCCAAAAGAAATTTGTTTTGTTTGGGGTGTTTTTTTGATAGCTACTGTGTAAAAATTAAGAGTTTTATTCTTAAATATGCAGAGATATTACATACAAGCCACACTAAAGTATTGGTCACATTCTGGCATAAAATTCCAAGCAAAGGAAGATTTCTACTGTCTACCTTCAAACTCCAGTAACTTAATTTAAAGACAAACAAACAAAAATCAAAGCAAATGCAAACCACAACAAAAAGCTGTGGACTATACAATCTTGTTGATACTTTCTGCATATGTCACTAATACAAAAAGGTCTAATTCCCAAAATAAGCATGAATATGAGATATCATACAATTGTTATTTGCAGGGGAATTAAACTTAGGAAGATACGAGCAATTTCATTAAGATATATCCAGGAACATTTTATTTAGAAGGAAATATTCAAAATATAGATGAAGAACATACAATCAGATACATATACTGCTACATACACCAAAAGCCATTCTGAAATGTTGGGCTTGAAGTTTTATCAAATGGCTGAGTTAAGACTAGAGTCTTCATTCAAAAAAAAAAAAAAAAAAAAAAAAAAAAAAAAAAAAAAAAAAAAAAAAAAAAAAAAAAAAAAAAAA